AGGAATGCCCGCTAACAACCTGGGCTGCACACACCATCTCCTGCCAGGGAACTCAGAAAAACCAGTGCCAGGAGAGATTAATTCAATGCTGTGCTAGCTAGGCTGGAGTGTCCTGAGCACTACAGGATTTTGCACTGAAGTTTTACAAATATTTTTTGTTCTTCCTCCAGGAGAAGAGCCAAAGAGCAGCCCATGTCTCCAAGGGAGTTAAGGCATAGTCAGAAGGCTGTATCAAGGACTCTTTTACTTGTAAAGGGTGACATCCTGGTGCCCTTGCAGCTTGGATGAGGCTTGGTCAGGCTGAGCTTCAGCATCCTGCTTCCCACCGCTTGAAGATAGGAAGGGGTGGTAGCGGTTAGCCTCCTGGGGATGCCGCACTTCTAAGGCCTCTTGTGGGTTCAGGTACAGCGTGACAGGGATTGCTGGAAGGATGCTGATGTACCTGAAGGAACAGAAAGATGAGAATAGCTTAGGAAGAACAAACGCAAAAGACACAAAAATCCTAATAGGTTACCCAGCCCATCTCCTCACTAGCAGCCAAGGTAGGTCTCACTACGTACTTTCAGTCCAGTAGTTTCAGGAATTCTAAACTAAATTCTAAACTAAAGACCTCCTTTGAAATATTTTTCTCTAAAGCTGCTTCCCAGGTCTTAACCCTTAACTCCATGGAAGAGGTTAAGAGCCAACAGTGGAATGAGCTACTGATGAGATCAAATGGATCACATAGATTTAGATGTCTCTATTCCTCACATGCACCATCCCTATCACTTACAGATGATCGTATATTGTTTGACAAAATTCTAAACGTCGCCTCCAGGGTAAGGGAAGACAACAAGCAAGTAACACACCCAAGAGCGCAGATTGAAACACAACCCTTAGATAGTCCTGGAGAGTTTGGCACCTCTGCACCACAGAGGAGGGCCTGTTTAATCGTCTCCTCCTGAAGACGCATCTGGAGTAAGCCACGTGGAACACAAATTATCTAACTCAGAAGGACGAAGGACAGAAGAAAGAAAAACGCTTGGGGTCAGTTTCACAACACAGAGTGCCTGCAGCAGTCGGTGCCAGCCCACTTGCCTTTTGGCCAGAGTGATATTGTAGTAGCTGAAGAGGGATGGCCAGTGTCTGAAGGAAAGCTTCCTCCAAATCTCCTCATCCTCTGCTCCCCAGGTAACCTCTGCTTCAGCTCCAAGCTCCGTCTGTCCATTCCCTTTGCCCTCTGGTCCGTGGGCCCAAGTGTGCTGGTTTGTCTCCAGCCCGCTCAGGGACTCCAGCCCTGACTTCTGCTCCCGCTGCTGCGTCTGGTTTTCTGACAGCTGTATAGGGTCCGACGGGAAGACTGAGAGATCAATCTTGGGGTCCCCAGCAGGAAGGACCCCTCCAGGAACAGGCATAGGAGGCAGACCTGCTTCACCCAAAGGACTCTGTTCGGTGACCTGGGATGTGAGGTAGGTGCGGAGACCAGCAGGATCCGTGTAAACCAGGATTCCAATCCAGATCACCGTCCCAGCCTACACACGATGAGCAAGGAGACAAGCTCGTTTAGTACCTGGCCTTCACACCCCGCCTCCAACACTCGTCAGCTGGCTGAGCTGACCAACAACATCCCAACCAAAGGAACCAGTTCTGGTCTTACTCCCAGGAGATGCTTATCCTCTAAGAGGATTGGGAGAGGTTGCACAGCATGCACAAAAACTGAACGCTACTATTCTGTGAGCCCTCCGCCTCTACCTGACGGCAGGAACCCCGCTCCTCCCACACCAATGCGTGGCAGGGAAGAGACTCCTTGCTGGCGGCTGGGACCAGCGGCTCTGCCACCCTCAAATGGGGCTGGAAAGGCTTAATTCAGGGTGCTGGTTCATGAACGCTGCAAGGCCTACTGCAGCAGCCACGGTTCACAGACAGATGTATTAATTTAACTTAAACTGCCATGGATGTTAGTTGACAGTAACAGACCAGGCTGCGGTTTGTAAAGCCGAGGAACACACACGTTCCTCCGCTTCCATTATAGAGACCCAGAACAGAGATGGGGGAGACAAGCAGGGGCAGTAACTGGTGCAACTGCTGCAGTTACACCTGCAAAAGCAAAAGCCTTAGTCTTTCATGTAGCAAAATATCTCCATGTCTTTAGTCCACATTATCTGCAGGAATAAAACATGATTTCTGCTCTTCTTCTCTCTCCACTCATACACAGACTTGAAAATCTGCTTATATAAAAGCAGATTTTTGTCTCATAGCAAATATCAGAAAATTACGCACTACCACCCAAACACTATGCAAACAGCGGAGCCCTGGAGCTAATGCACACAGAGCAATGTTCTTAGGGAAGTGTTTCTTGAACTGTATTTACCACGGGGCAGCGTAAGTCTTGCAGGGGAACAAGGATGCATGAAAATGTTGGGGTTTTTCCGCGCCGCGCCCCCCCCCCCAAGCCTATTTGGGTTGGGTTAGGGGCCAGCCGGGAGAGCGCATGACAAACACCACATGGCATACCATGATGAGTCTCTGGGCCAGCCGTGTCCTGGCGAAGAAGTAGATCACCCGCAGCCTCTTTGGCAGGCGCAGATTCCTGAAAGACGATGGCTGCAGGGTGATGGTGTGGGGGGTGGCGGGTCGCATAGCTGGCTGGCGTTCGTAGCGCTGAGAGCGGCTGACAGGCTTCGCTGGGGGCATGCAGGCTTCTGCTGGCAACCGTTTGTTCAGATCAGCGAGCTGCCAAGAGAAAAGCAAACGTGTGAGAGCCGTGGTGACGAGGTCCCTCAAGAGAAATGTGTGCGCAGTCACTACCTTTGATAAAGGCTTACGCCTGAGCTCCCACCTTCACCCTCGAGTCAATCTGTCCCAGCTCCTCTCCAGCACGCACTCTCTTTTTCGCCCAGCCACAGTCATCTGTTTGTGACTGTGTCTCCTTCCAGCACATTTACCCCAAATCTGCACGTTTATATACCTGAGGGTGTCTTGTTCCCTCAAGCATCCTGTCCCCAGTCCCTGTGTCTGTGTAACCAAGCAAGTACCGCCCCAGAACTTTTACAGCTCAGTCTTTTCTGTTTAGAGAGTGAAAATCACAGGACGTGCTTCCTTTAATCCTTCCACAATAGCAGGGAAGGAAGACCCAAGGCAAACCCCCGTGTTCTTGGCCCTTCCTTACCTCCATACGGCGAATGTCAATGGACAGCACGGTAGTGAAGAAAAACATCTGCAGAAAGAAGTCAGACACCAGGCCGACCACAGCGAAGAGGCAGAACTCCTGCAGACAGGACACATTGATTAGCTACGGCAGCTGCAGAGACAACGGTAAATATTTCAACTTTAGAAAAAAGGGAAAGTCAGCAAGGTCTTGCCCAGAGCGCAGGCCTGAGTCTATTTTACTGACAAATCCCAGTATCAATATTTTGTAATAGTTGAGAGTTTAGTGCTAGAAAAGTCTGTGTGAGAACTCAAGACCATATTTATTCACGCTCGCATTCTTTTTTCTTCTTAGTCATAAAACATCAAAGCGCTAAAGCAAAAACTGGTAGAGGATGTCTTCCCAGTTCACAAAGCTGTGGCAGGGCTGCAGCCAGCACTCTCGGCCTCCCTGCCCGTGTGTTCAAATCACAAAGCCAAACAGCCTCCAGCGGTGGCAGTTTCCTGCACTTTACCAATAAACCTCATCCCCGATTTAAAATTAATTCCTCCAGGAACACGGGTTGCTCAGGAACTGGATCAATCCCTCTCCAACCACAGACAGACCACTGTAGTCGCTGCACATCTGCGTACTTGTTTGTAGCCGTTCTCCAGGGCCCCAGCTAAACCATTTTGGCTTAAATCACACTTTTGGCTGATGCATATTTGATGAGCAAATTTCATTCCTATGCTCCTGGAAAAAAAGTTTCATTCCCGCTCTCAGAGGTCTGTAAACACCAAGTATATGGGAAACAACGTTTGCAAAAGCCGGCGTTTCCTAAACTTGCTGTAATGCTCCGCTTTTCCCAGCAGGTGCCATTGCAGAAATAAGGATTAACAGATTCTGCCCAGCAGCAGAAATGCAGTCAGCTCCCAGATCATCCCTATAAAACAAGTGCACGCTCTTACCCTAACCCCCATGAATGCTACGTGCTGTCCCCTCTCCCTCACTACATTCAAAACTTCACAGCAACACAGAATTAAAATATTTTTGAGAGGCGTTTTGTTTCCCTTGGAGTTACAAATTTCTGTCAGGACCTGTCAGGACCCAAATAGGATCTAGTAAACATGGCGAGATCAAGTCAGCTGAACGTAAGCAGGAGGAAAAACCTTGGGCTAAACAACGGATTAAAGAGTCGGGCCCTCGCTTGCAGAACAGAGCCGGCAAACACCACGGCCATGCGCTGCCTGCCTGCTGGTGCCCCAGGCGTGGCATTCTTGCTACCTGCAGACCAAGCCGGGACACATCCACCTAAGGGGAAGGAGAGAGGCCGTAGGGATTCGTTTCTTTGGTCCCCTTCCTCCCGATGTCTGCCCCAGCTTCTTGCATAAGGCTGGAGGCCAATATCAGCACATCGAAATGGAAAGAGATAGCGTGAAAGGCTATCCAAAACCTCTACACAAACCTTGAAGCCCCCCCCTCCTGTCCAAACTGTTCTCGAAACTGCTTGTTCTTTAAAAATCAGTGCGATATGAAACGAGATAAGCCACTGGGTCAGCTGCCCCTGCCCACACCTCCCAGAGGCAGCAGCACAAGGAAGCAGGTTCTCATCATGTTTTTCTCTTTAGCCCCTTCCCCAACACCTGGCAGGAGGTTTTGGGAGCAGAGGGATGAAAAGACGACACAGGTTCCTCTCTCAAGGAGAAAACCAGAAGGAAAGCAGCGTCCATCTGGATTTCACCCAGACCTCGGCAAACACAGGCTCCACAAACAGCAGGCTCTGCACAGAGAGATATTCATTCTGTTAACACCCCCACTTACTCCACTTAGGAGTAGAGACCCCTGAAGTTGCGACCCCTGGAAAAGCTAAAATCTTCTCACACTTGGATACTGCACACCCTACGGCAAAACCCAAAGTGATTTCAGGGGGCGCAGGATTGGGCGCTCAGTGCGTGAACTTCAGTACAAGGCAGCGGATCAGAGCTGGAAAGCACAGGACGAGCGCTCAGCACGCAGCCCTGCAGCACCTCAGGACCATCAACAGTGACGCTGTGCCAGGAGAACAGGGGGCTCTGCCCACCTGCAGTGCAAGGCAAGGGGATTTCATTGCTGCTCACAACTACAAGGGATTTGAAGTGGACGCACCATTCTCGTCTGAAGCCAAATGCTATTTTAGGACAAGGAGAGCCACGGAAACCATAGAAAATTCCCTTCTGCTAAACGAGTTGCACTGCCAAGTAGTAACTGAGAAAAACAACAAGACCCATTGCAGCCCTTGGGGCAGGTGAGAGCCTTCAGCAACGAAATGCCTCCCTCTTCTGTTATTGCCTACACCAGACAGCACCCCAACGACCCCAGCACCGCGCTGCTCCCTCTGACAGCCGAGAGCAAAGGTCTCTGCCAGATTTACGCAGCCTGGCTCTCTTTCTGCCAGATTCCTTGGACTCTGCAACGCGAGTACAGCGCATTATCTGAACAGTGTCCTTCGCTCTCAGGGACGCAGATAAGGGGCAAACGCCAGACTCCAGCAGAGCAGCTGTCAGTCTCTAACGGACAGCATCCCTGCGAGATTCTTCCTCTGGAGAACGCAAGCATCCGAGGCAAGACAGGATCACACAGAGCGCAGAGAGCGGGCGTCAGCACGCCGTAATAAACAGGAGTACTTTAAAAGAGATACCATGGGGCTGGGGGCATGGTGTCACTTTTTCCCATGGCTCTGCTGACACTTACATGGCTCTGCCCCGTCCCTTTTATCACATTCCTCTGTCTCCTGTAATCAGCACACCCTGCGAGCTCCTCTACAGCAGAGTGCAACAAGAAAGCGAACTGTCCCAGCGGCATCCTCACGACAGGGCTGCTGGCACTACGCTCGCTTCACAGGTACTGTCAAGCTTCACTTTCGGAGGTCAAGCAGTGCAGCAATCAAACAGAGGCCAGAAGGTGCTAATATACCCTAGGAATGAGCCCAATTTAGACCCAAAGGATGGATCACGCCAGCGTTCAAGATGAGCAATCTCTGCAATCAGCTTCAAATAAAAAAATTAGGCCACAACAGCTGTAGCCTGGGGAATTCTACGATAGCTCCTCTCTTGCCGTCCTCTGGGATATGAGTGAGGCTCAGGAACTGTGAAGTTCAGCCTGCAATGCTCCAGTCCAACCTGAATGTTTAATCTTCTTAGATTACAATACGCTTTAATCTGCAGTCTCTGCTGGTGACTCCCCAATGTTAAAGTGCAGATACACACAGCCCACCCCTCTTCATGCAGGTCACGCGTGGCAGGCGAGCACCTAGCGAGCGCCCAGAGTAGGCTGCAACTATGTAGATGCTGGGGTGCTCCTGCCTTTGCTCACTGACTGCACCTGCTAGAAATTTCCAGAGACAACAGGCTGACACCTCCCTGAAGTCTGGCTGCAGAGGTGCTATGGAATTGGTGATGAGGATTTGTCTAGGCAGAACTTCTGTTCACGGAGCTCACCAGGCACCAGCTCTGCTTGGTCAAGGATCAGAAATCAAATGGTGTCGACTTCCTGACGCAACTCAGCAAGCACAGTCCTGAAAAGGAGACTGTGCAGCAGAGAAAGTACCACGCTGCGAGGCAGAAGATGCTATTTTCGGTGCTACACAGACTCAACAGCATGACGCCTGACAGATCATTCTACCTTGAACTCTCAGTTTACCCACCCATGAAACAAGAGGCAGCGATACCCGTGGCTGTAAAAACCTACAGATTTGTCAATCCAGTGAAAGAGCCCCAAACAGACTGTCCACCCTAATTCTCAGAGCAGACATTCTGCACTAAGGTGTTTTTTAGTTCCATCCACTTATAAAGTGGCTTAGCCAGCTCACAAAAAGGCACTTGTAGGTTGGAATAAAGGCGTCCCCACAGCAAAGGCACTGGGCAGTGTTAAGTTCTGCAATAGGAAGCTCATTTCCGCAAACACAAGGAGCATGGATGGGCGGGAGGGAGGGAAACGAGCCCCTGCTCCGGCTCCTCCCAGGGCTGCTGCAGCAAAGCGATCGGCCCCGTGGTGCGGGGGTGACAGCCATCACGATGAGTCAATGAGAGAGGCTCTCCAAACCCACGTGTCCTGCACGAGCCCGTGTGTCTGTGGTGCCGGCAACTGGAAGGAGGCGGCTCCAAGCACCAGCAACCGCAACGGGGGCCATGGGGCACAGGGACCCATACGTCTGCGTCACCAGCAACTGCAGCGCGTCAGAGGACGCCTGTCAGTGTGCGATCACTAGTGACTATGGAGCCAGGCAGCTGGTGAGCAGGGTGAGTGGCTTGGGAGCCAGGGATGTGTGTGTCCCTGAGTGACAGAGCTGGAGGAGTTGGCTACCAGATGGACCAGGGGCTCCAGGCCAACTGCCAGAGGGACTGTGGGGCTGGGGAGCCACTGAGACCCACCTGGGCGCACACGTCTGTGCGTTTGTGTAAGGCAACCGGGGAGAGCAAGGATCCAGGGCCAACTGCTGGATGAACTGAATGTGTAAGCCCAGCTACTAGAAGGATCCTGACTGGGGAGACTGGGGATCGAGGGGCAGCTGCTGGACGGAAGGCTAGCTCCTGGAGGGATCCTCATTGTAGAGATGTGCGTATTTCCCACTAACAGACTCTTAATCCAATCAGCCAGAGAGGGGAGCAGAGTATCGCACACCGCATTCCTGAAGCAAACTCCAACTGATAC